AATTGATGGGTAAGAAACAAATATAAGGTGCAGAAAACAAGTTACGAACACAGAATGAACAGGCAAAAGTTGTGTATTCATCGGCTCTACTGACCGGAAAGTACAAAAAATACTGATTCAAAGAAAAGAAAGTACAGATAAAAGAGGATGTCTAAACTATTGTTCAGGATGCTCTTCATCATCTTCTTCATCATCAGCCTCCTCATCAACGGCCTGCACAACCTCCATCCCCAGGGCTCGCCGGCATTTTTTCATCTGTGCCACCAGGGCGTTGAGATGACCCGGATGGAGATCAGAGGGGAAGTCAGAGGATTGGACCGAACGGCCCATATGTTTTTCTAGGAGGGGGAGGAGAGGCTGGAGCATATGTTGGCAGCCTGAGCTGTAGACTCCCCGGGCAAGATTGTCAGCCCACTCCTTGGTAACAGGATGCTGATCAAGCACCCTGATCCCTTCCTTCTGGCGCTCTTCTCCGGCCAGTTTCTCCAGATGCCTCCCGAAGACAGCGGGGAGTTGTTCGGTGGCATATTTCTCCTTCAGGGCCAGAAACTCCTCCGAAGTTTTGAAGGAATCCCGGACGGCGGAAAGATCAACTATCATTTCGGCCGGGCCATCCGGGATCTGAGGAGGAGCTTCAGAAAACTTGACCTGAGCGGCCTCAGCTGCCACAATTTTGGCTTGGAGGGAGCCTACTTTAACACGGAGCTCCCCGGCCTCAGCTTCCAGCTTCCTCCGCTCCTCGGCGAATGCTCGCCGTTCGGCCTCCACTGCCTGCTCAGCCGTTTCCTTGGCCATCAGCAGGCCTTGTTCCTTAGCCTGCCTGGCCTCTCTGAGTTTCAGGCTGTATATCCCTGCCTAATGATCAAGAAGTAAAATTATGAGCACAAGATAAGAAACTACCTTCAGGACAGCCAGGGCAATACACTCCTCGGCCTCCTCGACCGGTATCGGGGGAAGATTGTGTCCATTGAGAAAGCCCGATGTGGGCCAAATCTGGCTCGCTAGACAGCCACCCCGCTCCAGCATTTCATGAGCAGGATCATAGAGGGAGATCCGCTCGAACTGACTAGCCAAGTCAGCCTGATGGGCAGCCACCTCCTCAGCAGAAAAATGATGGGACTGCTGGTCAGAAAAAAGCTGATCCATCAGCGTATCAGCATGAGTGTGCTGATCTTGGGCAACCTGCTGCACAGGCTCTACGTCCCGAACGGGCTCGGGATCTTCAGGAACTAGAGGGGCTGATGAAGAAGATATGCCCTTATCGGCTTTCCTCAACCTCTTCCTCTTAGTCTTCTTCTGCTTAGGAGAGCTTGGTGGCTCATCATCGAATCCAACAGTGAATAGCCTGCTATCATCCATGGCTGGTTGTTCGGGATTGGCTCCTTCGGATTCTGAGGATTCGCCTTGCTTTGGAGCTGAAAATATAAAAGGACAAATTAGTACCGAGCGGTTCACACGTGGATGAACAAAAAGTTATATCACACGGGAAGGACCGCCCGGGCCATGGTACTTGGTTTTCAGTCAAGTAAGTCCAGGAATACGGGCAGTACCTATCCCGGCCTTGATTAGCCGTTCGGAAGTTAGGTAGGACATAATCTTGAAGCAGCCGCCTGCCTCCACAGCAATGACATCTTTGCTGAGCTCCGCGGAGATGAATGGCTCGGGGGATTTAGGAGGAAATGCATTCCACTTCCTAGGAATTAGACCGTTCGGGACAGAGACAAAGAAAAACCTATCTTTCCAACCCTTAATAGAAGAAGGGGCGTCGCAGAACAAGATGTGTCCTGTTCGGGAACTTACCACCAGAAAGCCATGGGACTGCTGGGGAATAACTGAAAAGAAGTAGTGGAAAAGCTCTAGGGTGGGTGTGACCTTGACGCTATGACAACGACAAATAAAACCGGCTATTGACCGATAGGAGTTCGGCATTATTTGGGCTGGTACTACGTTGTAAAAATTTAAGAAGGAGACAAAAAAGGGGTGAAGTGGGAATCTAAGACCGGCCTTGATTGAGTCAAAGTGGACCACTACCATCCCAGGGAAATGACGCATTGGGTGAAGCCCGGCCTGGAATCGGAAATCCACCGAGTCCGGGATCATCATCTGAATTTGGGCCCTATTTTGGGCCGTGAGTTTTTGACGCATCAGCCTAATTAGGGCTAAGTCAAGTTTATGGCAAGAAACGCCGCTAGGGGGACCGACTTCCATGGCCTCCATTTCATCCCCGGACTTGGTACCATCGGGATAAGTTCCGGATGAAGAGGCATCATCGTGGGGAACCTCCGCCGGGATAGGAGTAATCTTCAGTGTGATGCTAGGGTTATTCTCAGGAAAATTAACATTTGAGGTAGAACACTCAGAGGAACGAAGACGGGTTGCCATACTGATCGAACAAGAAGGACAGAAGAAAGACGCAAAGGCCAGAAAATACCTGAACAAGGACTAAGAAATAGCTCTAGAGAGAAGGGTGAGTTTCAAGCCGGAGATGCAGAGTTTCGAAACCCAGAATCAAAACCAGAAGAGCCTACTTATACTCTGTCACGCCGAATCAGCAGCCAATCAGAGGAGGACACGTTTCCTGTAATGATGACGGTTACACGTGTCACGCGGGGAGTCCTTCTCAAGTAATCATGACGTTTATCGGGGAAGTGAAACGGCAGTTGCAAATAACCGTCAGAATGTACCTCGGGAACCGGCAGAATACCATCCGATACTCGACCGAACAACATTCGGGCAATAATCTTCTACTTCCTTATGCACTCACTACCGTTCGAGACATAGGAAGTGGGGGACTAGTGTTGGGATATTAGGTCCAGGCCCAATATCCCTAGGCCCAAACCTGGGAGGAAGCATCAGGCCCAAGGCAACCAAAAGAATTCCCGGACGGCAGTCGGGATAAAACTTCTACTTGGAACATTCTAGGAAACAATTACGCTAAAGTGCAAATGCCCACATCCCGGACGCTAAAGTGCAAATGCCCAGATCCCGATCGGTATTCGGGATACTTCTATACCAAAATAATATCTATGGCGGGGCCCCACACACCGAACACCTTGCCCGAATGGGCAGTCAGCAAGTGGAGGCCGCATTTAATGCTGGATCATGGCAGCTACAAGTGGGAGTCGTGGGTGCTTACATGGCAGAAACAATAGCCTACCAGATTCGACCATGTGTCCGCCTTACCCATCCCCATTTTAGTATAAATACCCATGTTTAGATCATTGTAAAGGGTTAGCATTTTAATACTCAGAGCTTAACAATAGATCTTCATCTCTTATCCTTGTATTCTTATACTCATCTACCGATCAGGTAGTTCCATTGTAATAGCATAATTATTGAATATTAGTAAGCTCCTGAGTTGGATAATATCTCACTGTTTTATATTTTATACACTTTTCAACCCAACCCAACATCCCTACAATATCCAAAGCTTGTGTTGGGCTTTCGGATCTTCGGGAATAAACCTCAACAAAGTTTATTATGATCACGGACGTACGTGGGAGTCACCTTACATCATAACGTTCATGTTATTTACTAATACAGACGTTAGTCTTAAATGATGCGGAGTAACTTTTTACTCGATCTGTTGGCAACGTACGTTTCTAGCTTTCATTTGCTGGAGTTTTAAGTATGTATGTGTGATCGGCCAGGCTATAAAGCTGGCTGGAAAAAAGATTAATTTGAGCTAAACATCCCGTAATATTTTCACTCCGCTGGATTAATATAATTTTCACTCTCGTTATTCTGTTACCGGTTTACGTCGAAGAGCTCGTTATATCTTGGGGAAAGGTTTTCGCTAGTCGGAAGCACTTTCTTGAGGACAACGTCTGACACGTCTCGAGCTATATTATCTTTCTGACGCTTTTGCAGGTTTATTCGGCCGAAATTCGCCAACAAGATGTGAGGTTTGACTCACCACATAAACTAGCCGCAAAGCTCAGGCATTACAAATCTTCCGAGCGAAAGCCAAAATCTACCAACGCTATCTTCAGAAGGCCATCAAATTCTACAACATATTCAACATGTTCATCTCTACCTTGGTGGGAATTCCATCAAAAAAATTAATTGTTGATGCATTTTTATTTTACATGTACTTTTATTTCATCGCTTGTATCACTCATTTTCATTCAATGAATCAGGGAAGTGTTCCCCGACACCCCCACTCAGTGTGGTTTATATGGGGGGATGAGTAAAATTCATGCTAATTCTTAAAATATGATCATGGGTGTTTCTTTGTCAATATATGACTTACATGTTTGGACTGAAATAAGAAAAATGAAACACCCTGGGTATGGTACATGCTATTTGATATTCTTATAAGGGGAAAAGATATAATTCATATTTTGAGAAACACACAATGTTATGGTCATATAATGAGTAGTTTTCTATACACAAAAACATATTAACCATTCACGCGCAATAACTTCAATGTGTGTCCCTTTAATGTCTGGGCGCATGTATGTGTTTCCACATAAAAATTTGACACAACATTATCATTTGCTCTCAACCCCCAAAGAGTGAATAGGCTTAAACATAGTGAATAGGAAATCAACATAAGTCAAACACAAGTTCATCACCATATATAACCAATTGTGCTTGTACACAGATACACAAATAGCTATATTATTGTAAGAAAAAATAATACAATTCTATACGCAAGAAAATTTTAGCTATACACAAGAAAAAATAATACAATTTTATACACAAAACAATACACAAGAAAAAGTTAGCTATACACAAAAAGAAAAATTTTGCTGATTTAAGAAAAAATTATTTTTAAAATATATTTTATTAATAAAACAAAGAAAAAATTATATGTAAAAATAGCTAAAAGCCTAAAATGATCATCTACAGTAACTTCAGCCAATACAGTCAGAAAAGTAACTCCAACCTTACTTTTTCTGCTTATTACACAATTCAGCACACTGTTACGTGTTTGATGAAAAAATTACACTACAAGCAAAAAAAGAAAAAGAGTGTTCTCAAACTCTCTCTAAACCTTATTTTCCTCAAAACTGGGCTTTGAGCCGGTGACTTGTTTTTATCCGGATTATTATATTAATCGTAACTCGTACCGTAGCACTTATCGGATTATACCTCCGGCCGGTTCGTTCGCCCTTCGTTCAAGACAACTTCCATCGCTTTCTCCGATTAGTGCAGACTTACTCCGTTCCAGAGTTCCCTCACTGTAACTCAATTTCCAGGGTCCAACGCCAATTCATGCCCTGCTTAGTCTTCCGGAATGGCGCAGGATATTGATCACTCTCAAAATCAAGAAGTCATTGTCTCCTACTTCTTACAACTCTGGCGGCTCAACTCGAAAGCCGCAGCAGCCAGATTCGAGTCCGGCGGTGAACCAACGGCAGCAGTAAAACCATCGGAAGAAGAGGAAGAGGAGGAGGAAAGAGAGGACCCGCCGACGGAGCTAGACACGGTGAACAGCTCCGCAGGGTTCTCTGTTGTGGGGCCCGACAAGCTATCGGTTCGTTACCCGAATGTGAACCTCCACGGCCACGATGTAGGTGTCGTCCAATCCAATAGGCCCGCTCCTTCGAAGAGACTCGTTTACTATTTCGAGATCTATGTCAAGAGCGCTGGAGCCAAAGGCCAGATTGCCATAGGTTTCACCCCTTCCGGCTTCAAAATGTGCCGCCAACCGGGGTATGTTTATTCTTAGCCGGGTTATGGAATTTTTTCAACCTTTCTATGCTCGTTTCTCGGATAGGGAGAACATATATATTGAAAGTTCACTCATATTGCTAGTTGCTGAGCAACATATCTAAAAATATGCAGAAATGTTGCCTAAAACTACTATAATATAAACTAGCATGTATCTATGAGACTATGAAGAATTGAAGATGAAGTCTAATGCATGTTAGCTAACCTAGGTTAACACTTACAATTATCTAAAGGATTTTGTATTTATAAAGATCAATCCACTCGGGCTAACCGAGGTCACAGAGGCCAACCCTGGGGTTGTTATGCCTCTGCATTATGTCACATGCATTTAAGAAAACCAATGACTTTCCAAGACTGAGAGTTCATGTGAGCTTAACCACTTATTCATGCTTCATTGACATGTGCCTCTTGGTTTTATTGTTTCGACTTAGAACCTATTTTTCTCTTCACATTTAGTGTTTGATCAAGCTCATACAAATTAACCAACTTTAAAGATATCCTGTGCAAAAGTAGTTAGGATAAAGATAGAATTCTACCATGTAAGAGAATAATTGCTGTGCTTTAACAATCTTAATGATTTTTTTAATGTAGAAAATGTTTCATGTCTCCATTCTGCTCATACCACTCATCAACATTCTAGAGAGCTGTGTCTGAGTGGTTAGCATTTGGTTTTTCTTTCCCTACTTTCCATTAACTACAATTGGCCTTCACATGCAGTTGGGAAGCAAACAGTTATGGATATCATGCTGATGATGGGTTACTTTATCGTGGGCACGGGAAGGGGGAGGCTTTTGGCCCAACTTATACAGCGGGTGATACCGTTGGTGGAGGTATCAATTATGCATCACAGGAACTCTTTTTCACGTAAGACCATGTTTTGTACTTTTCATTGGAAAAGTGGCCTATGGTTATGAACTTATGATTAATGTTGACCTTTAGCATAATGCTTTGGGACATTTTGTTCACAATGGACTGTTTCTATGAAATGATGGTTCCATTGCTTTAAGATTTGTTTACTGAATATTATCTAACTATTTCATACCACTTCCAATCTATGTCCGTTCCAAGATTCTCATAGATATGTTTTTTCTCTTTCGAATACAGGAAAAATGGGGCAGTAGTAGGAACAGTATGCAAGGATGTTAAAGGACCATTATTTCCTACAATTGCTGTTCACAGTCAAAATGAGGAGTATGTAAAACATTAGTGGGAATGACTTGTTACTTGTTAGTCCTAACTGGCTAGATTACCATTGTATTAATGTATTACCCCCTTTGTACCCTAAAATTCTTCTCACTTACCTTTCTTGGACGTTCCAAAAAATTCTTCCCATTTCCCTTTTTGGAAAGTAATGTGTGGCTAACATTCATTTTCCTTCTTCTTACTCAACCACAACCACGCATTTCCACTTTATTCCCACTTTCTTAAACTCCGATCCAAGTCAAACCGGGAAGAATTTTATGGGACGGAGGGAGTATATGGTTGCATAATGTTCTGCCTCTGAACTCTGCATTGCCCTCTTATACCCATTTTCTTGAATGACATTTAGTTAGTTTTTGTCCATACATTCCTTTCATAAATGGCATAAATTGTAGTCTCACTTAGTTGAAATTCTAGTGGACCTGGTCTCATTTTCTTCCAATTATAGTCCATATATAATGCATATCATTGTTTTATTAATCTAGCTTTGAGGTAATTCAAAATTTCCCCAATGTTTCTTGAATATGAACTGAAGTTGAGACTTTGCTCCTAATAATACATTATACGTCATACTTCTCACATTTACCATTAGTCCAATAGCTAGATTATCATGCTATTTCACTTGGGTAAATATGCCTGATTGACTATGGACATGTGGTAGAACTGTATGGTTTCCTAACATGAGTGATGGGTTGCATGACTTGCATCATTAATTGCTTGCTTATTGTATTGATTCATAAAACATAGACTAAGAACATTTCATCAATGTATAGAGATTTGACTTCTTACAGTCACATGCTGATGCTACTGTTTCAGGGTTACTGTGAACTTCGGAAAGGATCCATTTGTATTTGATCTTAAGGTATAATATCCTATCTTTCAAGTGGCAGCCTGATTCTTTTGTTCACATACAATTTCATCATTTCTTGTATGCTAAGAATGCTTCATAGATATACTCATGTGATATAGATATAAACTACGTAGTTTAAGTTGTTTCTCATGCGGGGTCCTCAATGACTTTTTGATGACCTTATTATCTTGCATTCTCTTTTCTATCCGTTGATATTCTGAAGATAATCTTTCATTCAAGTTTCATGCAAATATTTTTAAAACAAAGACTGATAAGAAATAATCTATCATCTCCATAACCATCATCATCAATTGGGTGGGGAAAGCTAGTAGGATTCATAATAGTTCATTAGAAGAAATGGATTATTTAGTTCCACAAAAAATATTATTTAGTTTACTGTAATATGCCAGGCATATGAAGCACAGGAGAGAGCCAAACAAGAAGCAACACTCGAAAAAATTACTTTACCTCAGAATGCCAGTCATGGGTAAGTCTGAGCTATATGTCCATAGTTATCTGATCTTTCACTCTGGGGTTGGAAATTTAATTGTTGAATGTGAAACAACTAATAGGTACTAGGTATGATTGTATGAAGTGAGATGCCTATTCTAACTATAATGAATTTGGACTCTTCAAGTTTTATTGTCTTCACTAAGTATCTGCTTGAAGTTTGCTAAATGAATAAGAATAATAGCTAAAAGATACTTAGCACATTTAAACTGAGAACGGTGTGACCTTCATCTAATTTGTACATAGTTGCTATTAGATCGACATATTTTGTTTCACCAGCATCAGCATATTGGTTACACTTTTCAGAATTGTTCGCTCGTACTTGCACCATTATGGATATGAAGACACTCTACAAATGTTTGAAATTGCAAGTAAAAGCAATATTCCACCAATCTCCTATGTGCAAGAAAATTGTTCTGAGGAGGATAGCACATCATCATTAAACCATAGGAAGATTCTTCGTCAGGTACAAAATGAGTGTGATATTTTTTATTAAATATTGAATACAAGTGGAGTGGCGTTATTACAAAGGTTTCTCTGTGACGTGTAGTTTTTGGGTTTGACTTATCAGAATTTTTCTTTCCGACAGTTTCACCATAGAATGAGTCTTCTTCTTGTTCTTCTTCTTCTTCTTCTTCGTCATCATCATTACCCCAGTGCCGCAAAGGCTCCCACTTATGGTGGGGTAAGGGGGGGGTCGGATGTACTCAACCTTACCTTTGCATTAAAGTACAGAGAGACTGTTTCCGGATGACCCATAGTGAAAATCGCGTCGAAAATTGCATAAACTGACTGTTGCTTCATAACAAAGAAGCGTAAACAGTTTAGTGAGCCATTTTTTTATTCCATCATATTCACCATAGAATGAGTCAGAAAGTAAAATCTTATTAGTGTATCTATTGTTTAAATAGCTCATTAGAAGTGGACAGATAGACGATGCTTTCGGGAAACTTCAAGATTGGTACCCTAATATTGTTCAGGTAATTGCATTCCGTGTACAGTTCATTGCTTAACATCACATTATCTTCACTGTAATTAAGTTTTCTAGTTATTTCCTCAATTCGTCCACTAGATTACCAAAACACAACTAATTTATTTTCCTTGGAAAAAATTTCATAACTTTGTAATTTTTTATTAAAGATCCTATTATTTGGGGATCATCTCTGTGTATTATTTGAAACAGTTTCCTTTTCACTTCTTGTTTGCACAGTAGTTTTCCTAACAAGTTATGTTTGTATCTACAGGATGGTGCGTCAGCTATTTGCTTTCTGCTTAACTGCCAAAGATTTATTGAGTTAGCACGGGTAAGTTATTTAATCGTACGGAGTATATGATTTCCTTTTGCTTCTTGCATATTAGTAGTCACAGAAGAAAGGGGATATTTCTATTGTAACTATGATGCTAATGGGACACACAAAATAATGTAATAGTGACAATTATTTTTCAATTTTAGTTTGAAGGAATACAAATGCCAATGTTTTTTAACTATGAAATATTTAAAATGGCTATAGAAAACATGTGTAATAACTCTCATCATGAACAAATATATATACCACCCCGGCCCTATATCTGAGCTCAAGCCTATAATTGTATTCTGAACTTAATGGGATAACCAGATGTTGCAAAAAAGTACACCAGCTTAAGAGAAAGAGATGTTTCATAAATAAGTTGTCCTATGAATCATTTATGTAAATCATATGAAGTTAAATTTTAATGGGAAACTCACACTTTTGGTTCCACACTTATCACAAGTATTGAAATTTAGTCCCTGTCTTTTAATGTATTCAATGCTGTCCCTTATTTGTGAAATAAATTGCAAACTTTCGTCCATGTGGATTCAGTCGTTAGTAATGTAGCAAACTGTTACATACCAATTCTATGGTCGGAAATATCAACGTAAAAACCGGATGATCAGGAAGGATGAATCTGGAATCCAAAGTGGCTGAGAAAGAAATCTATGACCTTGCAGTTTTAGAGCATCTCTAATGCTCCACTTTCAACATTGAAAAATAATTGACACATGGCAAAAAATGTATGGAATGTCAAATCACATAAGATAAAAGTGGAGGTATAATAAATTGAAAGCATAAAGTCTTCTCCAATGCAATTTAAAAAGACTCAAGTTCCGTAAATGGAAATTTTTTGCAACTGCCTAAGCCACTAATGGATAAAGATGATATCCGTATTTATCGCCTCTTAAACAAATCAGCACCACTTATTTTCAGTTTTAACCCAAATTGGTGATTCAGCCTGTGTAAATGACTTTTGAAAATCAGAAAGTGGGTTTGACACTTTCATTAACACGTATGCACCACAGAACAAAGTAAAGACAGCATTGGAGGAGTTTTATTAATACCGCTTTAGTGTTGTATTATGTGGCGTCCATTTTTTACTTTGGAAAGTGAAGCATTGGAGATGCTCTTAGGCAGCTGCCTAATCCGCAGCTTTCTAATTAGCATTTATCTCTTTCTCTAATTATTCCTAGCTTCCTAATCAGCAGTTTCCTAATGAGCATTTATCTCTTTTCAATAATTATTCCTATTATGCTTTCAGCAACTTCTTAATTAGCATATATTTCCTTTTAGAATTAGGACTCTTGTAATAACTACAAGGGTCATTAGTATTATTCAATAAACAGCTTTGGATAATTAATTCTTGGATCTCTGGAATACTTCCAAGATCAGATTAATTCACTGAGCCCTTTCTTTTATATGAAACTATCATCATCTCTTAGTTGTGTAATATGTTGCAAGTTGCCCCTCAATTTTGCAACATGTCGTAAATATAGTCCCTACCTTATTAATGTAGAAACTGGTTTTCTTAAAATTTTAATCTCATTAAGAAAGAGTTAAAAGATAGGGATTGCATTTCAATATGTGAAATAAATGAAGGACCAAATGTGTGATTTCCCCAATTTTAATCAAATTTTAAACTGGATCTCTGTAATGAGACTACAATTACAACATTTTACACATCTAAGGGACCACATTAAGAAAGAATTAAAAGATAGGGATTGCATTTCAATATGTGAAATAAATGAAGGACCAAATGTGTGATTTGACTGATTTCCCCAATTTTAATCAAATTTCCGAAAAAAGCTGTGGACAAGCCAAACATGATAAATTTAGCCAATGTGTGAATGTGCTAAATGCAGCAATAAATATTTAAAATATACTCCCCGAGTCTTATGCTGTTATAAAAGTTTTTGCCCAAGAAGCATCCATAATGGGGTTATAAACATAATTTATAAAGTAATTTGCTATAATGGGGGTAACAAACATGTTTGATATGACCAATTTAGTTATACTATCAAAGAAGTTTTGAAAATGTTATCACTTGTGACTCATAACAGTATTACCTTGTTAACGACACAAAGTTATACCTCTTAACAATTGATGCTGACAAAGAGAAGAAGTTATACCTTTGTCAAAACTCAAACATGACTCTTTTTGGTGACAAAGAGAGTAAGTAGGATTAGTGACATAACGTCATAGTGGTCAATGGCGCAAATGGCATGCATCATAATGCACCATATGGCTATATGAAGAGCCCTCACAGCAAAAGGGAGTCCTGGCGATGAGTGTACAAGTGGTGGCGCCATACGGGCGCCATCACCATCGCCACACCATGTGCGCCATTTTTTTGGGAGCAGATTTGAACATGTTTTAATGTTTTTTTGGGCTCTGGCCTGGATTACTAATTAACTAGTCAGCCTGTCCATTATATAAATAAAAACCCTAATAACCTAAGTAAATAGAAGCCAGTTATATGGCTAAGTACAAATGGGGATAACATAATTTAGTAAATGGCATGCATCATAATAACCTAAGTACAAATGGGGGTAACATAATTTAGTAAATGGCATGCATCAAATGGGGGTAACCCAGTACCCTAATAACCTAAGTACAAATGGCATGCATCATAATGCACCATATGGCTATATGAAGAGCCCTCACAGCAAAAGGGAGTCCTGGCGATGAGTGTACAAGTGGTGGCGCCATACGGGCGCCATCACCATCGCCACACCATGTGCGCCATTTTTTTTTGGGAGCAGATTTGAACATGTTTTAATGTTTTTTGGGCTCTGGCCTGGATTACTAATTAACTAGTCAGCCTGTCCATTATATAAATAAAAACCCTAATAACCTAAGTAAATAGAAGCCAGCTAACGTAAAGCCTGAGCAAGAGAAGCTGCACAAGTATGAAACTATAACTTCATTAAAGAAGATAAACTTCAAAACAAACTTTAGTTTTGACTTCTGTATGGACAATGGACATAAAAACAAACCTCAAAATGAACTCAAAAACAAACATCTTGCCCTTCAAGTATAATTAGTCATTGCTGTATAAAACATTAGTCATAGTCTCATAGAATGTGGTTATTCTTCTATACTAAGTAATTTTTGGAACAACTTTAAATTATTTTAACATATCATATTTTGGTTAGAATGTGGTTACTGGTTATGCAACTATTTTGCTAATTTTGGGTGGTTGAATTATACATTTATAATGTCTATAGTTCATATTTTTAGTAATTTATGTGTCATGTGGCAACGCCATAAATGCGCTATCGCCACGGACAAATACCTTGGCACCATGACCCTTACATGTATGTCCATTCCAAAATTTTAAAGCTGTAACTTGCGTTTACATCCTTTCCAAATGTTTGAAGTTGTACCTTGGTCAAGTATGCTTATTTTTACACAAACTAAGAATATGACAATACACAATCTCACAATTGCCTCTTAAAAAGTTAAAGTAATGTATAAACAATATAAAAATGGAAGAGAAAAGCTTAAAACTTGTTTTTTCCCACAGTTTTGTCATTTCCTGAAGCTCGTCTATTTTCAGATGGAAAGGCAGCTAAATAGTACTTGTATGAATGAATTTGGTTTCTACTTAATGGCTTTTAAGTGATATATGTACAGTATCTCATACATTTCTGCTGCTACAGTAACCTGAAGTGTGGTTTCATAAACAGGCTGGGAAACTTGAAGATGCTGTATATCATGGTAGGAGTGAATTCCAAAAATTTAATAGATTTACAGAATTTGAAGACTTGGTTAAGGTACAAAAGGATTTTAGTTTCGAGGCTATGTGTTCTACATAATTTTTACCAGCATTCTTGTTCTGGTTCATCAGTTTTGTTTTTTGGTAATAAAAATACTGGTTCTTACTACATTAAAACCTCCATGTAGTAGAGTTATCAACTAATAATGACTTCCTAGTTCCTAATAGTTTATATGGAAAGATGAAAAAACATGCAATGGAACTGGTTGAGATGGTGAGGGGTGAGCTGTATTCACGATTTTATACACACACGTGCACGCACATCATTACTATATAGTGGTATTTTTCTTAATATGGGACTTAGAAAAGATTTATAACTTATAATGGAGTACAATATAGAGGTTATTTCTATTTATAACTTGCCTATGTTGGGACAATAATGTTTCATAATCAGTAAAAAGCCTGAGGTTATTCTTATATAGAAAGTTCATATGTCAGAGGTTTTACTGTACCCTTTGAACTGGGATGTTTATTTTGCTGTACTTTGTTATGTATGTCTGAATACTTCTGTAGGATTGTGCTACTTTATTAGCATATGAGCAACCACTGAAGTGCTCGGTCGGATACCTTCTAGGGGACACCCAAAGAGAGATTGTGGCAGATGCAGTAAATGCATTGATCTTATCACAAAGCTCCAAGGAGACAGACACAAGGGTATGCTTGCATTCTTGTCTGGAGAGGCTGCTGAGGCAACTAACAGCTTGCTTCCTCGAGAGACGGACTTTGAATGGTGATCAAGGTGAAACCTTCCATCTACGCAATATACTTTACAACAATGGTAAGAAGGCCTAAAAGTTTCTCTGCGGGGATCCATAACATACTTCTTTTCCAACCGTGTGTGGGGTCACTCTGTCTAAGGGCATTATACCCCCATCCCTGATTAGTACTAGATGTTTCTCTATGTCAAGATTTGTTTAAATCATTGTAGTTCAGTATTTCTTGATCAGGACTGAAGGTTGTACAGTTTTATTGTGTGACAGACCCATATGAAAATGTATCTTAATAACTCCAGTTTCCTTCGAATTGAATAATTTCACTCATTTTAATTTGCCTAGAAAATATATACCACCACACTAAAGTAGGGGTGGTTCGGTACGGTATACCTTATATTTTTTCTCATACCTTTGCCGTACCAAAACTTTCGGTATGCAAAATTTGCATACCTTTACCTTACCGAAGTTTCGGTATACCGAAGTTTCGGTTCGGTAACGGTACGGTATCGGTAAATTGCCGTGCATGTCTCTCAATACAAAAAATTATCATAGACTAACGAAATATACTAAATCGTTATTACTAATGACATATTAAATCTAATATTAAACTGTTACGAAATAGAAATAATAATCTATTGATGTCAATTCAATATTGAACAATAATTGTTATTAGTATATTTAAGCAGTTCAACATGCCACATATTAAAAAGTAACACATTCTCCTAAAATAACTTGAACAATACAGATATAATTAAATCAATAGTGATCTCTAACAAAAATAAATAAAACTATTCAAACAACATGGATATAAAATCATTTATTCATAATATGATATTGTGTATTTAGTTATTTTTTATAATTTTTTTAAAATTGAAAAAAACTTTCGGACAAAGTTGTGTGTCTCGACTCGCGGAATCCCTATGTACATACACTTGTCACATAAGTGTATCTCTCTTCACTCGTCAGCTACTTAGCGGTCCAGCCATCATGACTTGCGAACTCTTGGAACAAGATGAACTTGTTTCTTGACATTTGTACATTACTCATTAGTCATTAAGGTTAGCGTAGTCCAAAATTGTAATGAATTTTTACAATATATTAGAATTAAAAGTAATTGTTGAGCAGGGAGTCGGTACGGTATTATACCGGTATACCGCGGTATTTGAAAACATTCACCATTACCGTATCGAAATAGATCGGTACGGTATGATACCGTACCGAAAATGACGGTATACTAATATTTCGATATTTTCCGTTATTTTTCGGTACGGTAAGTGCGGTATACCGATTTTTCGGTATTTTTGCCCACCCCTACACGGCTACACTAAAGCCCTAAGGGTGGCAATCCTGTTCTGGTTTTCAGTTCATGCATGTGATACAGTGATAGTTACTGCATTTAAATGTTTTTTTCCGGGATAAGTAATAACAATCCTATTGACCAGCAATGAGTCAATGACCAGCGCTTATTTATGATTTGGGTTCTGGTTAGATGCCCGATGTAGAGCACTAGAGCTTAACACGAGTACATGCAACTTTCAAAAAATAGGTGCATGTGAACATTCTGTATTTGTGCACATTGTAAGAGACTATCAAAGCATTGCCACTAGAGGTGGACACGGTTTGATTTTGATTCCGGATCGACTCTTCCTTGAATCCTTGGGAAGAATGATTGGGACTTGTTTCTTGTTCCGAGCTGATTCTGATCCCCTGACTGATCCCGGTTTTGGGCCATTCCAGATCGAATGGTGAGAAGATTGCATAAACGCCGTGGAGTGATCAAGAAAACTAGCATGAAGAAGTTTGGAGTATTTACGAGTTTTATTTTTTATTTTTTATGGTCTTATTTTTGTGTTATGCTTGGTTACATTGCTTTGTTTTTCGTTGATGTCTATAGTTTTAATTAGGTCTACAATAATGTTTTTTACTTTTGGACAGTTTTCAGTCTCAGACCAGACCAGATCAGACTTCCATATGTATAAAATACACGGAGACCATACGTTTATCAGACCATATCAGACCAATTCAGACAAGAGCAGATCATACCAGATCAGATCAGACCAACAAATTTCAGTCCAAAAGAAAACATCCTTACTTCCGAGTGAGTGATGTTTATGTGTTTGATTCCAGAGCGTACGATCGAATCGTGTTTTCCGATTTTTCTTGCTTTTCTAAAAAAAATTAAATTTGAATACTCCATTTGTCCCGAATTGAATTGCAAACTTTGACCGGCACAAGAATTAAGGAATGACAATAAATGATGCTTGCTTTTTATACTTTTGTCCTTCATCCTAGAATTAGATGCCTTTAAGTTGATGGGGAAAAGTAAAAGTAAGGGTAAATTTGTCACTTTACTCTTATTTACATACCTAAAATAGAAAGTGGAAAACCATTTTGGGACAACCAAAATACTTTCTCCGTTCTTTTTTAGTTGCAACAGTCAACATTTCACACTTGCCAACGCACGTCTTTGACCGTAATTATATCTTAATCCCTATTAATAAAAAATTTAAAATTCATTTTTTGAAAATTTATAATGAGATGAATTGGACAATGTTTTTTAAAAAAATAATTTGTATAAAATAGTAACGTAAAATACAGTCAAAGTAGAACATGCGAATAGTGTACAATTCTAAAATGTTAGCAAAAAATGAGAGTAGAAATTTTTGGAAAACAAATTGGAAGGGAGGGAGTAAAAGCATATAGACGTAGTATCATATACAGCGTATCATTAAAAACCCGCCTTTTCCCATGGCTGTATCCCGGTCAATGCAACTATAGACACTCCATGATAGAAGGAAACGTGTTTGATCCTTCTTCACTTGCCCACGTAAATTTCGCTGCTTTCTCCATCTCCGTTTCTTTGAAATGCAGATACCGAAAACCCGAACAGATGCAGAACTGAGCACCACAAAAGCGGGGCTTTCACCATCTCCGCCGGAAGCCCCGTCACGCAGCGCCACCGCGCGCGTTATCTCCGGTAAACCCCACCATTCACTGTGAATTGTATTTTTGTTGAATCTTTTTTTGGTTACAAGTAGTTTATGCATGATACAACCTTTCATTTGATTTTGGATTCATTGTCTTATCATCCCAGCTTAATTATGAATTTTTACTCATCCTTTTGAGTTTTGATAATTGATTGTTCATCCAATTATACTAAATGAGGGAAATGCGATCCCCTGAGACAGCGGCGGAGATAGGGATGGGCTGGAGGGCCAGGCCCGAAAAAATCTCCCTGTATATAATTATATGAAATATATGTTGAATGTTAAGCTTTGGCCTTGCAAACTTGCAATAGAAATATTTAATTCTCTGCCTCCCTTAAAAGATATTTCTGGCTCGGCCATTGCCGGGGAGATACATAAAGCGTGGTTATTACTTATTAAGTTATTATAATACTCATATTTGATAAACATGTCTTTTTTGGCAACTATTCATATACGAAGTATATTATCCGTCCCCAAAAGAGTGTATTTTTAGAAATAGAAACAATGCTGTTTTTGGGGTGGCGGTAATAAGCATGTTAATGTTGTTATTGTTCATACACATAAACATATTGACCAATGCATTTAGCATCAATACCTAACATTCAAAAGTTTTAGTTCTTGTGTATATTAATCGTATTTTTAAATGGCCATCCATTGTGATGTATATGGTGTTGGTTTTATATGCATAATACGGCTATGGAGTGGCCGAGTATGGTAGTTTTAATAGTTTTATTTCCATATTAATACCCCCCGTCCCTAAAAGAAGTTCGTAGTTTGACTCGCACATTTTAATTGCTTTTGACTTCCAATATTGCCTTTGTGATATGTGCTCACTGATCAGGAGTAATTAGTGGTGGTTGGATGGGATATTAAATGAGGAATTGAGGATTATAGAGACATAGAGCAAGTCAGAAGAATTTATTTGGGGTCGACCAAATAAGAAAACACGGACATTATTTGGGAATGGGAGGCTTTTATATATGTGTTACATGTGTGTATACATATACTAGTATATCTTTGCGCGCGCATGCATTTGTGTTTCAGTTAGAAAAGAAAAATAAAAAAGAACAGGGAGTACTTGTTTTGCTCTATGAGGTTATGTTCAGCATCATGAAAGTTTTTTTTTTTTTGAAATTTACAGATTCAATTAATTGTCTCAAATTAGTGAATTAAAACTATGCATTCATGCAAAATAGTTGCTAGTTGCTACATGTTGAGTGGTTAATTTCATTATTTAAACTAATTCAAATGTATGCTATTTGTAGGACGAAATGGAGAATTCTAACAGGGCTTCAAGCTTGAGCTATGTCACTGACATAAATGGAAATATACCATCAACATACTCCTACTCTCTTCCAGTGGAGTCAAGAGGGAAGCAGAAGACTGATGAAGGTGTAAGCCACCATCAACGTTGTTTGTCTGAAAGCCTTCTCATGGAAGAGGAACCCTTCTGGATTGAGGATCTTTTGAGCGATCCAGTGGACGTAGTACATAAAGGTCACAGGCGCTCAGCAAGTGATAGCTTTGCATACTTAGGGGCATTTGCAGAGGGGTTGTATGTGAATATGGCACCTGATCTTAAGAGTCTAACCCAATTTTCAAGTGACACAACTTCAATTTCTCCTAATGAGAAGATTCATAAGGTTTGTTGTTAAGCCCTTCCGTTCCTAATAACTGGATTTTATTTATAGAAAAGATAAAACTTGTTCTCAAGTAAGGATCATTTGTTAGCCATATTGGGTTATTGTGTTCCATCATTTGCAATGGAGCCAAAGACTCACTATGTTTTGGCTTGAAAATATGATGGAATAAAGCAAAATGGCTCACTAAACTGTATGCGCTTCTTTGTTATGAACCAACAGTCAGTCCATGTAATTTTGGACGCGATTTTCACTTTGGGTCATTCGGAAACAGTCTCCCTGAGCTTTATTACAGGGGTAAGACTGCGTACATCCGAACCCCTCTTACCCCACCGTAGGTGGGAGCCTTTGCGGCACTGGGGTAATGATAATGATGATCGGGTTATTTTGTAACACAATAACTAAGTTTTGACTTATTTTGTTGAAATTGTTAGCATACTCATATTATTTAAGTATGCATGCATACGTACACCTATGTTCCAGCCGGTTTAGTTAATTGCTTTATTATTTGTATACTGTTTGATATTATCTCATTGTAAAGTCTTATCTACACACTGTCCACATTCATTGTATAGACTTACGGAAGTCAGTACGATAGCTTAGCTTAGCAGTTAGTTCCGTAGAGTATCATCCTTGTACAATATTCAACCCTATTTAAAGGGTATTACTTTATGAATAAACTCACGGTGAATCGCTATCTCTTCTAACTTGGTATCAGCAGACCAGAACAATTCCTCTCTCACGAATGTTACCTA